CTTTGTGTTTCACTGTTTTCATTCTTAATTGCATGGATCTGAGTCGTTTTTACTTCTTAATATGGTTCACTACTATGAATTCCCCTTATTAGACTTCATCATTGGGTCTTCTAAGTTCCAATATGTTTTACCAACATTACCATTTGATTGTGAATTCCATTATATTTCTTCTGTAATTTCATGTTTGTCCATTGTTTATTCAGCAGAGTGTTATTTAATTTTAATGTGTTTATGGAGTTTTTGTAGTTTCTTTTGTTATTGATTTTCAATTTTTTGCACTATATTCTGATAATATGCCTGGGATTTTAATTTCTCTGCATTTACTTTAGCATATACTATAGGCTGGTACATGTTCTATAGTAGAGATCAACCCATATGCAGCTGACAATCATGAATATTTTCATGTTGTAGGATTTAACACTGTGTACACATCTAATAAGTCCATTTATTTGCATGTATGGTTCAATTCTAGTATTGCCTTGTTGATTTTTGCCTTGCTTTTTGCTTATTATGGTCTCCAATTACAGCTGTGTTACTGTTTATTTGATTTTTCATGCCCAGTGTTTGTTTGTATAGGACAGTATACTTATATTTTGCCCACGTATAACTATTATTGCTATCTCTTCATCTTGAAGTTTTTTCTTAAGAAGTATGTTGTGACCTTCTCTGTCTCTTTTTTTCAGTCTTTACTTGAAACTCATTTTGTCTGAAAATAGAATAGTGTTTCGGTTAACATTGTCTTGCTAAGACAAGATGTCCAGCACTCCCAATTAAGGAAAAAGAAGCTTACGTAGCTCAGAGTTGGTGGAAGTTTCAGTCAGTGACCAACTGGCTACAAGGCAGGGTGGCATAGCAGAGGGACAACAGCCCTAGGAGGCAGAAGACAGCAAAAGCAACAAGAGCAAAATGGGGTGAACAACCCTCTTTTCCTACCTTGGGATGTAAGTAGGCTACTACCCACTAGGGTGATTATGTGTAGAACTCACATCTTCTGTGAACTCCTCTTGCATAGGAAGAGGATATTTAAAAGTAAGACCCTAGCTCCCTGTTGAGTCTCTTAGTTAAACTTCTACACTTCCCATATTGACACTATGAATCAATTACAGATATCAACCATTGATTTTTTGAGGGAGGAGTTACTGTTATATGAAGTATTGATTTCCATCTTTTTGAGTTTCAGCCTATGAGTATCTTCTATAATTAAATGTGGTTCATTTATGCAGCATGTTGTAGGAGCTTGTTGATTCATTCTGCTCATCTGTTTCTTTTCATTGGAGAATTGAGAACCTTTACATTAATAACTGCTGATAATTATAACTAATATGTGTTGACTTATCCTTGTGTTTTTAATTTCCTATTCTTGTTTTCCTGTTTTCCCCTCTATTTAATTTTTACCTTTCCTGGTGGATTCTTTCTATTGATATTTTGGGAATTACACTTATTTATCTCTTTCTAAAATATACTACAGAACATTTAGTAGAACTAGTTTGGTGGACACGAATTTTTTAAGTTGTTCTCTGTAATGGAATCATCTCATTTGTCCATTAATTTTGAAAGATAGTTTTGCAGGATACATCAATCTGGATTGATTTTTTTTTCAAGACTTGAAATACACTTCAAGCTTTCCTTAATTTAAGGGTTTGTATTGTAAAGTTAGCTGTGATTCTGATGGGCTTTACTTTTTACCTTGTTTGTTTCTTTGTTATAATAGCTTTTAATATTTTGATCATGTGGTGAATTTCTGGAATCTTGCTTATCATATTCTTTGGAATAGCCCTATTTTGAATAAATAATTGGGATTCTATGTGCCTTATTTATAGATTTAATTATTTTTTCTTGCCTGGAGAATTTTCTGCCATTAATTTTTTGAACAGTCTTTTTTGTGATTTTGTGCAGATTTCTGTATTTTCTTTGACTCCAATTAATCCTTTGTTCTTTGCTTCACAATGCAGCAATTGATGTATTTTTTTCATGATCCCTTGCAATTTTTAAAGAATCTTTCTTCTCATCATCACTAACTGTCATGTTGTCTGATATTCTTCACCTTTGTTCAGTCAATTTAGTAAACTTTCAGTGCAATTTTTAATTTCTTTCTTTCTTCTTTCTTTCTCTTTCTTTCTTTCTTTCCTTCTTTCTTTCTTTTTTGAGAAATAATTACATCTATAAATAAGGCATATAGAATCCCAATTATTTATTCAAAATAGCTGTGCAGTTCAGGCTATCCTTAAGCTCATTTTGTAGACCAGACTAGTCTTGGACTCACAATGATCATCTAGCCCCAGTATCCAGAATGCTGGGATTACATGCATGCACCACCATGCCTAATCTGCAGTGTTTAATTTCTTAAATATCTGTCTGAATATTTTTCATGGCTTTTTTCTCCCATATGCTAGGTATTCATGTTTCCCTCACTTTCCTTTGTTCCTTTATTTTTATCTATATCTACTTGAAGTTTGTTGAACAAGATCACCATTTTGATCATCATCTCCTTTTTTATTTGGGAGACTTTCTTCACTGATTTGCTTTACAGTCCCATGTATTTGTTTTCTGACTTCTGCTAATATCCTTCCAGAGAAGATAGGTGAATGGCTTTGGATTTCCTTTATCTCCTGAATTAGCCCGGGGGATCTGGAGATCTTGGGTGCCAGTTTGCTTCTGTGTGTGGTCGTTTTCTATTTTTCTGTTTTGTTTTCTATGTTGATTCTTAGAAGTTACTTAAGTTAGATAGCTTTATCACTAGCTTTGAGGCTTCCTGATGGTATGTCTCTTCCTGAGAGATAACTTCCAGGTTTAGGTAGTTCTTGCTCTTTGTGTGTTTCTCAAGATCCTACCCTCTCTGTTTTGAAGGATATGACATTGCCAAGCAGGCCAAATAACTCAGCAGATTAAAGAGGCTGCCAAAAGGCGCAGGAGACTGGGATTCAATCCTTGGGCCTGCCATGCCGTGCCTGTCCCTGAGGCATGCTGAGATGGCAATTGACCCTGGGCGTGGTGCCGCACACCTGTAATCCCAGCTCTTCAGAGGCTATAAACAGGTGGGTCACTACAAGTCCGATCTAGTAGTGAGACTGTGCAACACTGTAGACCCTTCCCTAAAATGAAAAAAGAAAGAAAAGAAAAAAAGAAATACATTGCTATCTACTTGGCTTATTCTCTAGTCCTTTGATGTTGGACTATGTTGATAGTTATGGCTGAAGACATTTGCAGCATTTCCAGGAAAGGAAGAAAAACTCATTACAACAGATTTTAGTCATCCTGGCTAAAGTAGTACAGCTAACAATAACAGGAGTACTGAACACAGCCTTAAACCTGACAGATGCTGATAAATATTAATTTGGTTCTTTGAACCACAGGGAGAAGATCTATAGTTATATAACAAAATCAAATGTTGTTCATGAAATTGTGTAGAGAGTGTTTCTCTTTAATAGAGTGAGTTTACCCTCTGGTAGTGAAATATAAGAGGGATAGAGGAACAGACAGAAAAATAAATGAAGGGAAGTACAGTAGACTCAAGGCTGGAGGCTAAAGGATGATCAGCCAGCCTTTGGGAAACTTGAGAGGTACAAGATAGAGAATGAAGGTGGAAGAAGAAAAGTGTTGAAGTAAACAAGAAAGAGTGTTTACTCATGTGTAAATATTATAGACATTTGAGATAAGAGAGATAATTGAGGAAAGGGAGAAAAAAAAAGATGAATAGTTCAGAATAAGAATAAAACCCTCAACAATGTAAATAAACAAATAAAGAACACGTGTCTCTGTCTCTCCAAGTTGCTGTGGTGCCCTCAGACAGAGACAGCCTGAGGCTGCTTACAGTGTATACAATTTGCTCCTCTGGGTCAGACCAGCCTTCTCTGTTCCCCTTCCACTGGTGTGTCTCTGTTCTCTTGTGCTTCTTATTGCTGGATGTGGAGGAGTGCTGTGGGCTGTCTCCCTGCTCTTGCCATCTCTGTGGAGTGAGTCAATGCAACGTTAATCTCCTCTGCCATGGGAGGAGTGACAACCCTGCTGCTTTCAGCCTACACGGCGCTGTGCTAATCTAGTCCCTGATCTTCATCATCACTGCTGCTGCTGCTGTGCAGCCTCTGTGTCCCTGGCATTGTCGACTCACTGCCTCTGTCACCATCTCAGAAGCAGACAAGGCTACTAGGTTTTCTACTGTCTGTCCTGGAGGCTGTCCAAAATCCCATGGCTCTTTAAAGCCCATGTGTCTGTGTCCCTCTCATTGATCTGAGATCAAGTCCATATCTTGTCTTTAGGGGTTCCAGTTAAGGGTAGATGACAAAGGAAAGAAAGAAAGAAAGAAAGAAAGAAAGAAAGAAAGAAAGAAAGAAAGAAAGAAAGAAAGAAAGAAGAAAAGCTGGCAGGCTGATATGAAGGAAGCAGTGTGCCCAATTTACTGCTAAGCCACTGCATCTTCTGTAGCGGAAAGCACAAAGGCAAGGGGTTTGTATACCAAGTCTGTCCTTGGCTTGAGTTAGCCAAACTTTTGTAGTCCATCTGTTTCTTGGAGGCTTCAAAGTATGGTGCATATTGCCTGGCACACAGGGCAGTGCCACAGGCAGCCCTGCGAGCTGGATCACTGTTTTGGCAGGTCCGGTGCTGATGTCTTATTTGATCCACAGCTCTCTTATTTCAGACTAATTTGGGCTTTAGGATGCACGTCCTTCCCTTTCTACCTACCACCTGTGATTTTAGTTGATATCTTTTCAGTCTCTCTAGTGTGGCTCGTCTTCTATTCAGCCGTGGTGAATCCACTTACATGTTTTTATATAATGTGGATTTCCATATTTGTGAAAGGTCAAGGAAATTTCATATTAAAAATAACTTGTGAAAACTATCATGGAATAAACTTCAAATGCCAAAAACATGTGAAAGTGGTCATCTTATATTTAAATTTAGTTAACCATATTTTTGAACCAAAGTATTCCAAAATTTTCCCTTGTATAATTCAAGAGATAACAGAAAATTTGTTGTCTAATATGTATCTACTTTTATTCTAGATGAACTCACAAATTCATCAGAAACCCAGCTGTCTTTAGAAGATCTCTTCAGGAAAGACTTTATCCTCCATAATCCAGAAGCTCGATGGATCAATGGTATGTATAGGTTCTTTAATGTATTTATTTTGATCTCTGTACAACTAAAAGCAATAGTTGTAGTTAATAGGTTAATAAATACCATTCTTTGTATATTATATATGTCAATCTATATGCAGTGTAAACTATATATCAATCATTATACTGTGTATTATATATCATTAATCAGGAATTAGAATTTAGCTCAAGTAAGGGAAAACAAGAACTTCAGCTCAAGCAAAGGAAGTTCATAAACAGTGTAGCCATAAAACTTGCCTGGGCATCAAGTTGTTATTTCTGGATTTGCTTTTCTTTGTCTTTTTGGTCAATTTTTAAAATTAAAAAATATGAAAATATGATGAAGCTATCGAATGGCTTATGGGCTTTAATTTACCTGCATGGAAAGTAATAAGGGGAGTTACTGTGTAAAACCATCATCAAAAAGGTGTTAGTGAAAAGCCAGGCTTGAGTTTTCATCTGTGATTTGTCGCAATGTGCTTGATAGGAATAATAATCATGTTGGAGAATTGCTATTCTTGTCTTCTGGTTTTCTTAGATGTGAAATCTTTGTTTATTTTCAAGACTTAGATCATTTGTAAAAGTTTTTCTTTATATCTAGTAAAGATGATCTCATTTATAATTCTTTTCCAGTATTCCAATTAAACACTGTTAATTCTGCAAATTAAAATTTAATTTGTAGAAGCTACAGCAATGCAGGTTAGCTCATGATGGCAAGGACCGCCTACTTAGCTGGGATTGATGCAGTTACTAGACCCCTGTCGACTTTCAAGATTTAAGTTTTGAATAAATCCTTCATTTTAAGTGTATTGTTTTTTATTTGCTAAAGTTTCAGTTAAACAAGTTGGAAGATGACTGAAATCAAAATGATTGTAGTAAAGATAGAGAGCTCAAGATAGCGATTTTCTTAATTTATTTTATAATTTTCTTTATAATTTTTTATGTTCTTAAAATTAATTTTGAACTTTCAAATGTGATTAATTCAGATAATGATGATCAACCCTCTGACTAATTAAGCTTAATATAACTATTATTGCCTTTTCCTTAATAAACAAATCTCACATGTTATTCTTCTCATGTGGAATTATAATTATGTAAATCATTCATTATTATCAGATATTTTCTGTGGAGGGGGATGACTTATTGGGAATTTGCCAAATTTTATAGAATATTGATAGTGTTGTAAATCATTAGACTTTTTTCTGTTGAAATGTCATATTATTAAAAGCATTTTCACACAGCAAAGGATATCATTAACAAAAAGAAAATAAAGCCCACATAGTGAGAAAAAATTTTAGCCAATTGTACCTCAGATAGAGGACGTGTGTCTAGAAAATATAAAGAAATAAAAAAAAACCTCAGCCCCTCCCAATTCAAAAACCCAATCTATAAAAGGGAATCTGATGAAACAGAATGAATAAGAGGGATAGGTTGAGAGACACAAAGCTAGAAATATCGATCAAATATAAGCAGGACTTGGCCCACTGCCTAAAGCAAGAAAGCTACCTCACTCCTGAGATGAACATCCTGTCTGGTTAAGGTTAGCTATTAGCTGCTAAGCAACCTAGTGTCATGTGTTACTAACTTCACAAAAGTGTAAATAAAGGACCATTTTGTTAAAAAAAAAAGTTTAAAAAGTCATTATTGAAATTCATATATGTGTTGGTTTTGGACAAGTTACATAAATTTGTATAATGATTGACTTTAGAAAGCAAGGAGATAATTGAACCCTTCACCTTCTCAGGTTACTTGAGCTATTTAAAAATGGATTTACTCCTGTGTATAAGTGACACTTTTGATATTGAAGCTGAGGAATGAGAGTATTTCAACAGTGGACTGTATGCTAAATTAAACCACACGTTAATATCTAGGACATAACTCCTTTTATACTTCAAAAGCTATTAAAACAACATATTTGCAGTTAACAATTTTAATCAATTTTTAGTAATTTATTTAACTGGTATTGTTAAACTTCACCTTAGAAAGGATACAGGGATAAAACTTGGATGTTACTCTAATATTTTAAAGTAATATGTAAGCTTTATAATGTGTATAAAATAATTTGACATGAAAATAATCCGTTAAGCCAAAAACAAAACAGAATCAAAGTCTGGGGCAGGGCCGTATTTATAAATATAACTGAAGATGTTTAGGTATAGATTGTGTTCTAGAGTTTCTTTTGCAGTGGTGGAATGTGCTCTTACGTAATCCAGCCTCTCTTTTGGAATTCATTGGGAACTGTAGCCTATTTGCATATTCTTCACGTGGACAGAAAATATAGCTGGAATCAGATGAATAGACTATATATCCTTGTCCTCATTATCAGTGTCAGCATTCTCTTTATTTTTAAGATATGACTCATCAGATTTTCCTAATATATACATCTTTTCAAAAAGTTCAAGCTACCCATATTTGAAGGCTTTACTTAATTCTTGGAGGTCTTCATAGGAATGTTTAAGGCATTGTTAGTCAAGGAGGAGGAAACAGTCTAGATGAACCGGATATGTGAAGGTTGTAGTCAGGCATTTTGTTCATTATGCTCGTTCTCAAATAATAACTCTGGGAATGACATTACAGCCTTGCGCAGCTTGTGGATGTGATTAACTTAACACCTCCTTTGCCTCAAATCTATTCACATCCTTGAAATCTCCGTTCATATAGCATCTTCCTAGTTAAGTCAACTTGAAACCTAAAAATCCATCTTCTGAAAATTTATTCGTTTCTCCTCATACAGCAAGGATCAATTTATCATTAAGGGAAGATGTACAATTGGGTAGTCTGTAGGTTAACATCTACATAGATGTTTTATACTGTATTTCATGTGACAGCATATAGTATTGATATTAACTCCAGAAAACTGATGCTTAACCAATATCCATCTAATAAAACACAGGATTTGAATTAATCATTGTATTTACTTATCCTCTCATTGTTCCACTCTGACATCTTATTTCAATATCCATCACATATATCAGTGGCATTTCTAATAATTTCATTTTTATAGATCTCTTACTATTGATCCACTTCATGTTGCATATTAAAATCTCCACAGGCATAGCCATATAGTAGTGATATATGTAGTCCCTAATAATAAAGTGCATAAGTATATATTTATTGACATGTTCACGACCTATAAAAGTGAGCAATGGGATTTCAAAATAGTGTTGATAGTGTATATCATGTGCTCTATATTGTGTAACGGTAGTGACTCTGACTACCGTTTTCTTTTACCTATTAGTTTCTCAATTTTCTTGAAAAAATGTTTATTTGGTTTTTATAACTGACTAGGTCTCAGGCATGTCGTAACACTCCATCAGTCCACAGTGAAATACAAGTTTCTAAGCCCACCTGGCTATTACAGTATTAAATTGCTTCTCAAAGATAATCAGAAGAAAATTTTAGCAACGAGCACAATACAGAATCTTCCCTTTCTCTTTTAATACTCACAGAACTGAATGTCTGTCCTTATCCTTATCTACTTCTTATTTTGTTTCATTCACATTAACTGATTGATAGTTTGTTGTTGTTTTTTAGGAGTGCAGTTCTGCAGTACATGCGGTATATACATGTACATAATACAACTTGATTCTTTTTGTAATCCATCAAGAGGTGATTGGATAAAAAAATGTAGTATTTATAAAAAATGGAATGATACTTGGCTAAAAAGAAGGACAAATGTGAGACACTAGGAAAATGGATGCCTCTGGAAAAATATACATTTGAGTGAAATAAATCAAGTACATAAAGAAACTCTGTAGAGTATCTTTCACCTAAGCTAGCAGAGTACAACAAAAGAGCACGATAAAGGATGATTAGCAACAGGAGAGAGAGCTCTTGCAAGTGGAAAGGGTCCAGGAGACGCAGGGCTGAGTGGAAGGGGCAGTGGAAAAAGTAGAGTAAAGATCTGCTGTGGGCCACAACCAATACCTTCATAGATGCAAACATCATTGCTATAAGCAGGCGATAATAATATCAAGAAGAATAAAAACGGGAAACAAAATTTAGAGAAGCAGGGAGGGAGGAATGCCACGAGAATTTAAAAACTGTCTATTCCTTTTCAACACTGCTGTCTCCATCTCAAATCTGAAAGGCCAAATTTTATCCCACTAGAAATTTAATGCCCTGGCCACTTGTTTTCCTACCAGCTACAGGACTGGTATCTTCTCTAAACTCTATAGTCTGATCCCATCATAGCAACATCTGTTTGGGGTATAATTACAATACATGGAATTTCTTCTAAAGCACTGATATTCTTAGTGTTAACTCACCCATTTTTAAATGCAATAAGAATAAACTTCTAGAAAAATAAAATCATAGATCCAATAAAACCCCAAATGTCCCTTTAATATTTCTAAAAGTTCTGAAGTTAAATTTCCAACAAATGTAGGTCTGAGCATAATATTCACGTAAAAGAAAGGAATGCCAAGAATCACTTTATCTGACAAATATATACAATTATACTATTGATATTGAATTAATAGCTATTTATTCCTAAATCAGAATTGAAGAAACAATAACAATAATTCATATTAAAAATCTATTTGCTGATTTTGAACGGAACCTGAAAATTCAATATTAAAAATTTTTTATACAATAAATAGGCTGTCACTTATCAGTGAATGTAGGTAGGTGAGACTGACAGCAGTACTCACAGAGGATAGTGATGTATCTAGCCTACTTTTCATTTTTATTTTTGTAACTCTCATAATATAAACGAAATTCCCAAGTTAGAATGATGGTAATAGAAGATGAGCTTTTGAAACAAGAAAATGTAGCAATCTCAGGCTAATTTATTTTGAGGTTTTAAGAATCAAGCAATAGGGCTGGTGGTACAGCTCAATGGACTATGCATCTGCTTAGGAAAGTGCAGGAACCTGGTTCCAACCGTGCACCCCATACTGTGCCTGCCTTGCCCAGGGTGTGCGTCTGGGCACGGTGGTGCTGGGGAGGCCGAAAACAGAAGGATCACTGTGAGCCAGAGATGCACAGTGAGACCTTGTACC